TGAACAAACTTTCTGGATGTGTGTTGCCCAGTAAATTGCAAGAGTGCATTGCAAACTATCGGGACTTTTTTGTCTATCAAACAGTCACTACTGCCAAACCTAATGCAGTGATGTGATTGGCCTAAGCCATTTTGGAGCATCTCTTGGAGCAGCCAAAACAGTGTTTCGCAGCAGCAAAAGTGGTTTTTGAAGCGAAAATTCTTAGAACATTTTTTTCTTTGAAGTGCTAGACTAACGAAGGGCGCTTTGTGCTGTGTCGTGAAAGACTTGCTTTTTGTGTTCCCGACGTGCCAGATTTTCGTCAAAAGTAAGCAAACATAAAACAATAAATTGCAAGAGTCCCTGCTGGTGCCTCTGTCGTGTAGTCATGTTCACATGCACGTGAGGGCAACATCAGCATGCTTTCACTGGTACGTGCTTCGTCGCGCAAGCGGAGGCAACGGCTGTTCAATCGAAATCGGAACAATGCCACTCCGCTCCATCGCCAACTGGTTCCCAAAATAGTATGCAAAACGTAACTGTCCAGCATACGACAAAACAACACTCCAGTGGCGCGTGCTTGCCAGACCGGCAGGTGAGATACAAGCTAAACACACAGGAGAAAAGAACTTGAGCGCATCGATGCAAGACATCGCGAGCCAGGGTAAAAAATTTGGAGCGCTTTGTGCAAAGACTGAACTCGAGAGAAGCAACCACGATGTGCGGGTGCAGCGTGCAGACATTGCATTTTTTGCTTTAGCTCTCTCCCCTTCGCCAACTTTCTTTTGCTGCAAATGTTTCATGTACAAATGTCCGTCTCAAAAGGAAGCCCACCGAGAGGAACCTAGGTAATCGTTATTTCGACTAGCAGTCTTTGAATTAAAGGGACACTTTAACAAAATTTGATAAACAGCAGTCGTGTTCAGAAATAGGTTGAATATGATCTTCAATACCCGTAAATGATAACTGCACGTCTGTATTTTGAGCCTGATCACTGTATTTTGGGTTATTAACGGCCCACTCTGCTAAGCGCTTGGAGAGCAGCCAGCGGAGAGCACGTGGCATTCACCGCAAACGTGACGTAGTTCATCTCGGAACGAGCAAAGCTTCGGCGAGGCTGATGCCGCGATGTCCTAACGGTTCCAGCCACCGAAGCGGCTGCTTTTGTATGAATTTTGAGTGACAGGTTAATCTTCTATAATCTTGTAGGGGGACAATAGCGAGTTCTGGGAGACACAAAGGATATTCTCAGGGGGGGGGGGGGGGGGAGCCCCTCCTTCCCCTTTTCTCTCGTGGTGGCCGGAGGCGAGGCAGTCATATTCACTAGCTCTCAAGGTTCCTAGACGGGCATTACAAACGAGGCGTTAGCGACATCCACCAGGTGCTCTTTGCTAATCGTTTAAAGGGGGACATTACCCAGAAAAAACAATTTCGGAAAAAAAAGCTGAGTTAAAAAAAATTTTCACATTTACTTCCACCAACACCTAGATAACGTTCGCAGAAAGTTTCATTAGCTTACACTGCATAGTTATTTTTTTATAAATTATTTTCGGTCCTCCGATGCTAAAGAAAAGCCAGGGGTTGGAACACTTTAAACACATTTTTCCCCGTTCCTTTTTTTGGCATAAATTTCACTTTAGGAATGCTATCCTTTTCTTATTACGTAACTTGGATTAATTTTTATGAGTTCTTCTGGAGTGAAATTTAAAGGGGAAGATAGCTATCAGCTTTTATTTTTTATTTTGTCATCTTTCATGGTCAAGAATGAAAATCTTGGACAAAGAATGGAAATCTAAACAACACTATTTGAGTTTATGTGGCCTTTTTGTCATGAAAGATGGTATAATATAGAAATATGGCTCGACTGTCCTAAAGGAATATAACACATGAAAACGACAAATTTATAAGTATTTTCGAAACAATAGTTTTCCTACGCAGACACGCCCACTTTCTTCTTTAAACATTTGCAATTTTTTTGTACTTCACCCAGGTTAACAAGATTTGGCAGAAATATTCTCACCGTCAACAAAAATAAGCCCTGTAAATGTCATTTAAATCAGACAAGTGGTTCAAAAATTCACTTTTTTGGGTAGTGTCCCCCCTTAGTTCGTTTTAAAATTCCTTTTCGTGCCTTTTTCAACAAGAGATTGATGTTGTCAGTAAAGCAACTCTCGTCGCGCAAAAACGTGGTTTTGTTTCACAGCATGACGTCATGTCTGGCACCCGGCACACTAGCGTCGGGGCGTTCGCACACGCCCGCGCCTGTCGTTGAAGAAGTTTAAAAAAAACGCGAGACGAGATTCCCGAGACGACGAGGCACGAAACGCGAGACGGCGGCCAAAACCATGCAAGACCGGATGGATGCAGGGCACTTTGTGTCGGGCGGCCGCTTGCGCCACATAGCTCACGCATGCTCAATTACGTTCTTAGTTTAGTTTCGGTTTTGAAAGGCGACCAAAATTAATCCTTTGGAGCAGGCTTGGCGCAGAACACCCGTATTTTGTCAAAATGTAGCAGGGTTAGCCCCTTGGCGCAGTTTGGCACAACAATCACATCACTGCTAATGTACACTTTCTTTTAACTCAATTTAAAACTCTTGTCACCAGCATTTCACAACCAGTTTTAATTGAAAGCTGCAAGGTTTCCATATGTTATAAAAGATTATCCAGCGTAAATTTTTATGATCATGCCACGAAAAAAAAGTCAACCATTCTGTGGAATGCAATGTTTGTAAGTACAAGTTTTCCTTTTAATGTCACACACTTCAGAGGTACACAACGTTACGCTGCCATTAATTCCGTGCACTTATTTTTTTTTACCTTTTGTGACATGAATAGGTAAGAATGCGAGAGTTCGTAGCAAAAATAAATATGCCAATAATTCAGAACAAAATAAAAAAAAACGTTTTAACATTTTGTACAGGTGCCTCGGGTTACAAGAATAATGTATATGCGCCTCCAAGTACTGTCATCACAAAGGCTACCTACCCAACCGAACAAAAGCAATGTATGCACTTTTCAACCGTATTTATACGTATAATGCATGGCTCCCTCAAAAAAAAAAAAAAAAAAAAAAAACTATATTTACTGGCCGACGAAATACGTTTGAAGGGAGAGCACGTTTATATTTTGCTTTTTCGTACTAAGGGCACCTGAAGGCAATGTAGTTATTCAAGCTCAGTTTGCATTCGTCGGCTAGTAGCGGCTACAGGCTTCCTAAGCTCTTGCACGGTGCTTTGCCAATTCCATATGTGGCGCACTTCAACAACTACCAAGTGCCTACTATCACTTGACACGATACTGTACTCGCTGTGCAACATTGGTTTGCAAGGTTGCTTTCGTGAGCAGTAATTGTAGAGTGATAAAACGTGTGAACCTAGTTTGCTGTTTATAATTCCAAGAATACTTGTCCGCCGTTGGGGGCACTAGCCACCCGCCATCTTGAAGTTTTCTTTCGAGCGTCGGTGCAGAAGAAATAGAAACCTCGACGAAGGTGTGCAGCGAAATCCTGTGGCCACCTCAGTATATTTTTGTTCTCATGGTGGTCGTGCATTGAGTTTCCTTATGTCATGGCACGTGTATGATACACAAAAAGAAGGTTTGTACAACAAACAATAGTCGAGATGAGGCGGAAACTCTGAAAGAAAATACTCTTTGAAACAAGTGCACAACCACGACAAAACATTAGGATGTCGAGACATCTCAGAAAACAGACAATAAGAATCGCTCGGAACATTGCCATGTGCAGCTACATGCTCTCGGTATCGCAAAACTGAAGTCACCATTTTCCCGTTGGCAAGGAAATACATGCCCACCCTCTATCACGAAACGACTCTCATCCTTGGCCTCTCAAAGTTCACCATTCATATTGCATTGCCTTCTCTCTGCAAGAAAAAAGCACCAAAAAAAGGAGGAGAAAAAATTTCCTGGCTAGGGACTTCTGATGCGTCGCAAGAACAAGGATGCGAACAGAGGAGCGCGTGGCTCGCGGTACAGGCTGCGCCGCCTGGAAGTGAGCCTAGGGGCGAGGGTGCGTGGCCTACTTCGATGTGTTCACGCCCCTCGATTGGCGCTCCCCAAGCTTCAGCGGTGCGCCTCTTAGTGCGCTGAAAGCTATCACCGCTATCTTTGCTGGCTCAGCGCGTGCGGTGCAAAGAAGGTCGCCGCACTCGCCGAGCAGGCAAAGATAGCGGTGACAGCTTTCAGCGCACTGAGAGGCGCACTGCCGAAGCTGAGGGAGCGCCAATTGAGGGGCGTGAACACATCGAAGTAGGCCACGCACCCTCGCCCCAAGGCTCACTTCCAGGCGGCGCAGCCTGTACCGCGAGCCACGCACTCCTCTGTTCGCATTTCATTTTTCCCCGATAGTACAATAGTCGAGGTCTTCAAACACACTCTTCGTGGCATCCTTCTCTTACAGTTGGCTCGTATTCGTGAAAAGCGAACAATTGGCGCCGATTTGCAAAGCTCCAAAACACACAATGTCAAGTTTTGATGTGTGTACCCTTTCCTAACGTTTCTGAAACTGATTGCCCGGTTAAAAGGGTTTAGCCAACACAATCCAAGCCGACGATCACGATCAATGGCACGCCATAAAGTTCTAAACTTTGTCGGCAGTCACCGAGGAAGCAGTCTCAAATGCCAGGTGCACTCGTTACGGAGTTGATGACGCTAATTGTACGAGCACCCTTGTCAACAACATTTGCGTATTTTAGATCGGAGCGCCCGCTAACAACTTTATTCCTACTGCTTCCGAGTTTACGCTCAGACAACTTGCAACTGCTGACATCTGAAAAGGATTGATAGCATCGAACAAGCAACATGTCTTTGACGCTGCTTCCAGCAAACTCCAGTTTGTTAAGTCTAAGCGCGTCCTACATACGTTTAAACACGGTAAATTAAAGGCACCTGTGCAATTCTCTGCTGTTTTTTGTTTGCGACCTATCTCTGGTCAAACGTTTCTTTTAAACGACACATCAGATCTCTTGCGTCTGCACTTGGTACAACAGTCTTGTTGTGTCGGCTAAGAACTCTTGCCTTGCGCCGTTTTCTTGTCTGTAAGACGGTCTCCAAAGAGACGCAGCAAATGCTCAGGGCGGGGCTGTCTTCGTTCCGCCGTGACAGAGATTCGCTGCGCTCTGGTCGTCCTCGAGAGCCCTCTTGCCGCCTCATTGGTCCGAGCGCCGCGGCAACACTTGAGAAAGGGGGACTGGCTCGTCGGCCTTTAGTCGGGCCGATGGATGGCCAACTTGGGGATGAATTCGATGAGCAGCAGCTGGTTTCAGAACCAGTGGTAAGGGACCCTCATAATTAGCAAACTTAACTATTTTTGTTTGTAAAAAAAAAATGGTTAGACAACAAGTCAAACAGTGAGCATAAGCAAAATTACATTGTTAATTTTGTCTTGCAAGAAAAGCCACTCTTCGAAAGTTGTGTATATTGATTGCAGAAACATTTCCTCACGAAAACTGCAGCAATGGCTGTCGGCTACAGTTTGGCTTACTAAGATAGCCAATGGCCGACACTGACCAATGGCTAACACAGTAAGAATGTGTAATGGCTAACACAATAAGAATGTGTAACCTTCAGGCCATTTCATTCGTAATAAAAAGATTGATGTGATTGCCGTTAGACAAAAAGTATAAAAGGATGATTGAAGGCAAACTTTGCTTGCTTTGTGTCGGATCAAAAGCCACTCTTGGAAGTAGATGCAAGCTAATTAAGGAAACATTTGGTCGAGAAAACGGCAACAACAGCTGCCGTTTTCTCGACCATCGCCACATTTGCCACCGGCCAATAGCGACATTCAGTGATCTCGCCAACTTTGCTGCCAACGTGCGCAACAAAAGTCTGAGAAACGGAAGAAGTGTCTCTACGTCTTCACTTTCTCATTTATAAGCTTTTTCTCTGAGCACTGCACAAGCTGTGCTAGCCTCGCAGCCGTAGCACGAACAAGCTGACGCAGAGTAGTTTCAATAACTGGAGCCCATTTTCGATCGGAGGGTACTTGCGTATTCCATCATGCTGTTGGAATCGTACTGCTGCTTTCTGAGCTTCCAATGTAGACCGAGTTGAAACGAAGCAACACGCTCGTTAACCATTGAATAATCTGCAAGAGTTGGAGCAACAGTCCTGTGCCCCCATGGGGGGTTTACGCCTAGGCTAAATGAATATGGCAGAAGCTCTTTTGGTGGAACTTTCACGGGCGGTTTTTTATAGATATGCAACTGAAACTTCACCGTTCCATTCAAAGTGGTCTTCTAGTCATACGATGGGTGGAATTCCCGTCAAGAGGGAGAAGCTTGTGTGATGACTCGGATTTCAGTATAAAGAGATTGTACTCTAGCATGAATCGCCTTGATATGATGATGACATGACATACTGATAATACATCATATATCATATGATATGACGACTCTACAACCTACTATCAGGTTGTGCAATTGCCGAAGGTGTATAGTGTGGATGCAAGACTGTCTGCAGCACTTACTTGCTGCAACGGAGCAAGCGTTTGCACAAAATTTCTCTACGTTTCTGAAAATCGGAGCCGTCAGCAGATGATGTTCCTGCTGCCATGACGAAACGAATGCAGTGTAGTGGACACCCCCCCCCCCCCTTTTTGAATATTAAAAGGTGGAAGAAACCAAAATGACAGAAAAATGTTCACACTGTGGTGTCTCTAGTAATAGGTCGGCATTTTTGTGAACAAAACCCGCACACTTACTTTCTCACCAAGAACTTGGAGGCTAATTGTTTGCACAAAATTAACGAGGCAAAGATCTGATTTAGAAAAAGGAGCGAAACCGCCGGAATGTTGAGCGTGATGTTCACATGGTCAGAACCTTGGCACAGATCACATTTTCTGCACTCCCTCTCTCAATTAGAGTGGCTAACTGTATGTGCTTGATGTGCAAAGCAGGCACGTTGAAGATGCGCGAGCCTTTCTATTAGAAGTCTACCCATTATCGAGTAAAGCCAGCACGAAGAAAGTGTGGCTCTGTTGACTACAGTGCAATCCGCTTATAACGATAATGAAAAACCCCAAAATTCATTCGTCATAACTGATTATCGTTGTATCTGGACTAAAAGCTGGGCGTTTCTAGTCTTGAAACTCTAGAAACTGACCGTTATAAGCAGTAGATCGTTATATCTGGTATCGTTAGAAGTGGATTGCACTGTACTACACAGATTCCCCTACCAATTGCCTTTGTTTGCTGAACAGGAATTTGATGTTCGTTTGATTACAGAACGCATTTTTGCAGCCGAACTCTTAGGAGAAAATCGTCGTGAAGAGCAGTCATGAAGAAGTGTCACAAAGGACTGTGACGTCACCTGACGCCATGGCATGGTGATATCAAGACGGCGTCATTTTGTCACAGCTCGTAGCCTTTTGTGCCTCCCCAGTCCTTGTCGGCATGATCAAGCTATTCATTGTTTCACCTCAAGTGCAGCCACATCCGACACTTTGGGCTGACGTGACCGATAAGGCAGTGTCAGACGCGCACCGTCGTGGTGCTTCTCTTGTTTATGTGTGCGTTCTATCATCGCTGAACCAATTGCAGACAGACTGGTTCATCTTGTGGTTTTAAAGCTGCTTGATTGGTCCCAACTACCTTGTAGCAGCTTTCAAGTATCCTCATAGATGCTGCCAGAAAGTTTCACTCCCGTAACTGAAGTATTTTCTCTGCAATAAATTACTTCCGACATGCAGGTGCCACCTGGAGTGTGGGTTTCTGAAATTTCAAACACATTTATCTCAATTTCACTTTTCAGCATCAAACCTTGTTTCAGGAAAGCTACCATTTGATAATGAAATGATGTGTGGATACAATTTTTGAAGTTTCTGTACTGAAACTTTTGTAAACAACGTTTTTTTTTATGAGCTTACTTTCTGCATTTTCATGGTCCTTTGTTATGAAAAACTGCAGTAACTTAAACCGAATGCTGGTAAACAATTTTTTTTTTAATTTTCACATTTTTATTTTTAATAGAAATGGTGTTTTGTCATTTCTTTACATAGCCGTGTGACAGAGATGTTATACTGCATGCTTGTTCAAAAGAACTGGACATTATCATTTCCTTTTCTAAACGAGTTTGTCTGGGGGGGGGGGGGGGAGGAAGTGCATGTTCATTTTATGTACATTTATGTAACTTTGAAAAAAAATATACTTATACTATTAAAATTTAGCTTGTCATCCTCTTTACCAGCTATCAATATGCTCTGCAAATTTTATACGAAAAAGACTAACGATTAAAAAGTTTGCTTTCCTGAGTAGTATCCACTCTTAAAAAAACACTAAACCTATGAAAAATACTTTTTTTATTTGGAAGGACAGGACGTCCGTCTCAAAATAAATACATCTCTCAAAATAAATGCATATAAAAATTGTTTTTGTTTTGTTTTGTACAGGGTGGATTTAAGGAGACGCCAGGCTCTTTAAATGAGCCACAAAATTCGGTTTCTTAACCTATCACGCTACGACTTTGCGCAGCGTTGCCCACAGATGGTGCATTTTTTTGTAATATTTGCAAAGACCGAAATTACCTGAGAAAAAAGTAAAGAAACAAAAAGTCTTAGCTCCTATGGAAATGCAGCGAAGCCACCGGTCTTCAAACAACACGGCGCCGTTTCGCACTGGACACAAGAGATGGCGCAACGGACGAGCATACGGCGCCCAGAGCCGGCGTTTTTAGCAGACAATCTTTTCGACTCAAAAGCGGCGCGCATTCCGCTGTCGGCGACAGTCGCAAAACAAAAACAGGCGCGGTAACAACACAAAACTGCAGTTTCTCGTCTGCTAAAGACGCCGGCTCTCAGCGTCGTATGCTCGTTTGTTGGCGGCAGTTGGCGTCGCGACCGCTTGCGCCATCTCTTGTCTCCCGTGCGAAACGGCGCCATGTTGTTTGAAGACCGGTGGCTTCGCTGCATTTCCATAGGAGCTAAGCCTTTTTCTTTCTTTACTTTTTCCTCAAGTAAGTTCGCTCTTTGCAAATTTTACAAAAAATTGCACCATCTGTGGGCAACGCTGCACAAAGTCGTAGCGTGATAGGTTAAGAAACCGAATTTTGTGGCTGATCTAGAGAGCCTGGCGTCTCCTTGAATCACCCTGTTGTATTGATGATTCAGTACACATTTTTCGATATCCGGGCAATACCAAAACTGTACTCTAGGCCAGGTTTGTACGAAACTATTTATTGTCCATTCCAACTCAAGAAAGTTTTTGCTAATCTGGGGATAATGAAAATACATGAATATTACAAATATAGACTTGCCATGAAATATAAACAAGAATATACCAAGAGTAAAAGATTTTTATTTGACTTGGCTTCCGTCAGAAAAAAACCGCAAACACATACCCTTCGTCACCCTGACCCTCTGATAATAGATAGATACATCGCGTATACTGACTACGGCCTTCAGACGATTAGAAGAAGCCTGCCTCCGTTGCTCAACACTTTCTCGCATTCCAATGTTGATATAGTATCTTTAACCCTACGTGAGATCCGTGAATATTTTCTTTGAAATAATGTCGTGTTAACTTTTTGTATTTTGCAAGTCCATTTCCTTCATTGTTGTGTGTGGCTGATATCTAGTTGGCATTTTCGGCCCAGTGTTTTGATTTTCTTCCCTTTGTTTTCTTATTCCTGTTTTGCATTGGTGGACTTCTTTGCTTTGTACAATTTTTGACACCGCTGTGTTCCTGTGAGGGGGCTGGGGACCAGTCAAGCTCTTTGTAAGCTTTCTTCCCCAGCTTTCACCATATAGCATACATGTCTATGGTAAATGAACTATTATTATTATAAAAAAAAGTAGAGCGAGGGAAACGAGGGCTGGGGAGGAGGAGGCAGACGAAACGCAAAAGAAAGGAGGAAGTTTCCCCCTCTCCTCTCCAGCATACCGTCTGCTTGCTCCTTCCCAGCCTTCCTTTCCCTCGCCCCACCTTCTTGAGTTGAAATGGGCTATAGTGTTCGCTCGGAGGCAACTCGGAGGTCCAGCAAACTCGGAGCGGACACTAGTTGGGTACGAACCCCATCATCATCATCCCACAGGGGTACAGTTTCGGTTTCGTCCGCAAACCAAAAAGTTTGTATTGTAGCATAAATATTAGTAAAAAAAATGTTTTTTGCGACAGACACATTTTGAGACATGCCTGTTCTCTCCAGATAGGGTACTAGGTGCAACGCTTTTTAAAGTTGAAATGAAGTAGAATAGTGTAATTTCGTGTTTGACTTCAGCCCGATTTTAGAATGAGACAGCCCTCTAACGGTTGCCTGCAGAAATGCAATGGGCACAAAAACAGGACCGCATGGCGTTGAAGCCACACTTACCTTGTGGTAAAGGTGACTATTCTCCCAGTCCAGGACTTTCTCTATCGAATGCCGCGTCTGCAAATAAGATAGATTCCAGTTTTCTATCACGTTCCGACACAGTCTTCGAAGGTCTGTAGCCGTCTATACACGTTCAAAAGTGTACATTGGCGCTTTAGTATTTGCAAGATGCAATCATAAATGTGACGTTGCAGCATCCAATTGTGTACAAGTTGTGGTCATACACCGAGCGTCTGTCAGGACCTGTTCTAGTGTGCTAACAAAAACAACAAAACAAATGTACAGCACGGGGCTTCAGAGTCTTCCCAAAATGATAAGCATGTAGTTCTTTCAGATTTGTTTTAAACAATGTGGAAAACACGATCGAAGGATACTTGATTTTTCTTGCCACGGGCACTAGTCGAAACTTGAAAGCTACAGAGGCCAGATTCACGAAGACTTTCTCAGGCTACGCAACTTAGCTATGTTCGCAAGTCACACACATCGTAAGAAGTGCGAAAGTTAATATTTACGAAATGAAGTTCTAGTCTTTTGGTGCCCTGCAAGCTCCCGATGCCAGCGGGAGCGTGGCTATTGCTATGGCGATAGTCCTTTCGGCAACAGAAACAACTAATCAGGGCTCAACCCGCTTCGGAGCACGTGGATTCTGAATTACAACAAGCGTTGGTGGACTTTCCGCCAATGCTTGTCTGGAGATTGTTTCCGCGCAGTGAAATGACGACGCTAGTATTTACATGGGCCCTAATGTCGAGAGAGAATGCCGAAATAACTGCCTCGTACGACTGCTGTAAACTCAATCACTACGAAGTCAACACAACTACCATCGTTGCTAAAAGAAGACGGCTTGCACTGTTCGTCTGCAAAAGCGGCGCACAGGGAAAAAAAATTGCTGCAGCGTTTTTTCGCGGCCTCGGGGCTGTAGGAGCGAGCAGTCGTCCAAGAACATACATGTGAACTACAAAAGTGTCGGCAAGAGCCATGTCAATACCTATTTAATACACTGGGAGGGGACATGCGCGTGTTTGATCGAGTCGCTGGAACAGCGCTGTTGGACTGCATCTCGGTCAGTGCCTCGGGACCAATCTTTTATTTATTTATTTATTTACTGAAATACCTTAAAGATCCACTGAAAATAAATGTTTTTAAACAGTCTGGTTGAAACACGCGTGTCAAAAAACTAACTTTGCGCAAAACCAAAATAAGTTTTTGAGCAATATTGACGGTGTGAGACGCGATTTAGTCGGTAGTAACCTCCTTTCCACTTGTTTTCTCTCTCGGCATTTCGGGTGCACGGAGGAGAGGTGGATCGGCTTGGCCCTCACGTTGAGGTGGCGAGAGTGTATGACCATTCCGTGACCTCATGGACATTCCACGCAGAAGTTTAAATAAATCTCGAGCCTTCAATACTCCTCCAAAAATGTATTTTTTCACGTAAAATTAATTTTTTGAGACGCGTGTCCCAACCAAACTGTTCAAAAAAACTTCTTTTTTTTTCGGTGGCCCTTTAAAGGTTTTCTCAACTGGATTACATAAAAGAAAAGGCACATACCTTACGAGGAAAAACTAACTAAAAACAACAAAAAAAAATCGAAGCAAAAAAAAAAGAATAAATAACTAAAGCAAGTCACACAGCCACCACTATTTTAAACAAGAAATGATAGAAGAGAAATCATAACATTTCTAAATAAAAGAAATAAGAGTCTAAAAATATTTGGGGTTAGTTTTGGTGACAAAGGAATCGGGAAGGGCATTACACCAAACAACATAGTTTTGAAAAGAAAAAAAAAAGGAAAGAAAAAGGAAGAGGTTTTTCAGGTGTGGTGATCAAGTTTGCACAGGTGGTGAACATGAGGCGATACATTGAGAAAGTGATTTTCGCGGGCCTTCGCGGCCCTTGGCCAAGACTCTCGGACGGACGGCGGCAAGGCGACGCCTGGAAGTAGTCGTTCTACCGCACACAAGTCTTCGTCGAAACCTGCCGTGACTGTGGTTTCCTCCGCACTGCCAGTCCAGGTGACGGACGAGGTAGCACCGAAAGACGCTGATGGATTTACGCCCGTCCAACGGAAGAAACAGGTCAAGCCTTCTTCTGGAACCTGTGCAAAGAGTAAGCTGTCGTCAGTCCCTAGACGACCGAGGCTTGAGGCACTTGTTGTTTCCCGCCTTAGTCCAGACACTTCATGCGACGATGTAGGCGCAGCTCTTACTGCCCTTCTGGAAGGGAAACCTTTTACCTGCATCAAGTTGAAAACAAAACATGATAGCTACTCTTCTTTCCACATACCTGTGAATGAGGAAGACTTCAGCAAAATTAATGTGGCGGACGTCTGGCCAATGGGCTCTTTTTTCAGACCATTTTTTGGAGCGGTACGGGGTAATGATGATCGTGACACAATTACGACTTTTTCTTCGATTTGGAAAAACGCGATAACCGTGCCGATGCATAAGAAAGGAAGAACAGATGACCTATAAAAGTATAGACACACTTCATTAGTATGTCCATTTGCAAAGGTTTACAAAATAGTACTTTCGGGACATATTTCGAGCTTTTTTAAACATAAAACCCTGCCCTCACAACACGGTTTTGTGCGCGGAAGATCAATATAATCAAACTTGGTGTCTTTTCTTAATTTCGTTTTGCCTATCGTGTGTCAGCAGGGTCAGGTTGACAGTGTATATTTTGACATGTCCAAGGCATTTGATTTGGTTGACCACTCGTTACTTTTACAAAAGCTGATATCGTACGGTATGAGTACTACACTATGCACATTGCTTCACAATTATTTGTCCGATAGATAGAACTTTGTACGTATTCTCGGTCATCTCTCCCGGCCTTTTGTCACCCTGTCTGGTGTTCCCCAGGGGTCCATTCTTGGACCAATTCTTTTTAATGTTTTCATAAACGACCTTCGTTAATGTGTTCTACATTCAGAAATCCTGCAATAGGCCGATGACATCAAGTTATTTAGGCAGATAGTATCTGTAGAGGACTGTGTGAAACTAATGGATGATGTTGTGGGATTTGCCCTTTGGGGGGGGGGGGGTTACCACTTAGAAGCACAAAGGTTCCATGGGTCCGGATAAAGACGTGTTTATTGACTGCAATGCCAGCACGCTTCGCTGTTAGACAAGAAAAGTCTGGGCGCTGGCTCAATTGCCAGTATCACCCGGTCGGTTTCCCGCGCTGCCGCATTAGACAGATTCACGGGAAGTCGGAGGCCCACAAAGAAAAACCGAGCTCCGTAGAGCCAGGGCCTCCGCCGACGAGAGCCCCTGGCCCACTTTCGGGGCCAGCTTATGTAGCCTCGGAGAATGAACGCGCCCGGGGAGGCCACTAGCAGTCGCGTCCATTATAACTCTCAAGGGTGTGCCGAAGGCGCGTCCACCCAAAATGGGCAAGGGAGAGCCGGCCCCTTCGGGGAATTCGGCCTCGTGGTTCCTTGTATCCGGGAGGCCGAAGCCATTGGTGACGACGGCTCCCACGGCCTGCTCGAAGCTAGGCCTGGATAGGGATAGAGGGAACCCCATGGTTCCCACACTCCCCCCTTCTCAAGGCTAAGGTAGGCCAAAAAATAAAACGGCCTACCGGCTCTCGAAAACAAAATAAAAAAAAACGAAACCGCAAAAAAACTACCGCCTCCGGTACCGACCCCCACATGCTAGGGTTAACAAATGGAATATCTTCGGGGACGCTCCCGGCGTTGAAGTCCGTGGCTCACCATGGCGCAGGGACAGGACGATGTCTTGGCCGAAGTCCAGGAATGACGACGCCGGAGCGTACCCTGACGACGCGCCCCGTCGTTGGCGTCGACATGAGCGCCCATCCGCAGTGCATGTGGCTTGCAGGCGGGCTCCAGGCATCGGGACGGGAATCCGCAGATTGGGGCAGCAGCAGGGTCGCCGTGACGGCGAAGTGTGTCGGGGAATGACACTCGAAGTCCTTGAATGGCAGCAAGTCCCCAGGTTCCCAGGGTTGGAGACGGAACCAGGCAGCAGGAGGACACGTGACGCCATCTTGATCACAGCGGAAGTGAAAAAGTCTTCGGGCCGGCAGGGGGACAGGCAGCCCCGGCGATGATGACGTTGCCCCGGCGAATGATGACGCTGCCACGCTGCCCCGGCATTGTTGTCCTCCTCGTGGGCCGCGCCATGACTCACACCCGCCTGGTACTGGAATGCAACCTGCGCTCTGACCCCTCTCCCGTTTCTTTCCCCAAGAAGGAAGCTTCGGAAATTCCGAGCAAGGTGGAGCCGTCCAAATGAGGACACTCGACCAATCTCTGGGTGCACAGGGCCCCAGAGATAAAAAGAGGCAGAGACAAAGATGTCTTTTCTGCCGTGAGTCACGTGCTTCGCACTGGCTCGGCTCGCGAAGTTGTTGTGAAAAAGTTCCACGACTCCGCTTAATGTGAACACGGATGTCCACATACCATGCTGACTCGCGTCACCCCGGACAATAGATTTGTTGGTGACTGATCGACTAGGCAAAGTTCTTTGTAGCTGCTTTTGCTGACGATGCCTGATCGCTTCGATTTGCGGGCGCAATGAAGTGTCAAATACACCACCCTGTCGTTTCTTGTGATATTGAAACGATGCAGGGCTGCAATCGGGCAGGCTCGCCAACATTGTTATTTTTCAAACATGTTAGCTTTTACCTTAGGCTAAACCACAAATTCTTGTGGCCAGGTATAGCACAGCGACCTAACTTCGAAAAGTCTTGGAGCCACGTGCTGCCCTGGCCAACGCGAACAAAGAAGAGCACCGAATGCAACTCCCAGCCGCGCAGGACAGCCACCTTGAACTGCAATGTTCGTAGAGGCCAAGCGCCGTAGCACGAGTTTATCCGCATCAGCAAGAACAGAAACCGATCCCAATTAAAAAAGAAACCCCGAGCCAATAGCAATACCAGACTATTTACGGCACCGATCGGAAACAACACGAGTTGCTCGACCCGGCGAGTACGCTGCCCGGCTGCCAAAGCCCGTCTGCAACAATACGAGTTGCTTAGCGACGTTAGTGGCGAGCGTACCGCCCGGCGAAAGCACCACCCGACTCCG